GGGAAGTTCTGGGAACTTTAAAAAGGTTTTGCAAAAATTCTGGCAACTTCTGAGAATTTCTGGAATTTCGGAGATTTTGTTTTTAACTTTGCAGAAGTTCTGGGAAAATAAATAAATTTCTGGGAACTTCAGAGGAGTTTCGTGAACTGCCGAGAAACAGAGGATAGTTAATACAAATTCTTCCATGACTTACAGGAAATGCCGGAGGAGTGTTTTGAAGTTTGAATGAAGTTCTGAGAACTCTTTAAAAGTTCTGGGAATTCAATTTAAATTCTTTTAACTCTGCCGTAGAAGTTCTGGGAACTTCGTAGAAGTTTTGGGAACTTCATCACTGAAGTTCTGGGATCTCCATTGAAGTTTTGGGACGTTTTTTGAACTTTTAAAATGTTTTTGGAACTTCAGAGGAGTTCCGTGAATTTCAAATAGATTCTGGATACTTCAACTAAGTTCTATGAAGAATTCCTGGAAACGCTGAAGAAGATTTATGAAGTCTGGAAAAGTTCTGAGAACTTTGGAGAAGTTCTGAGACTTTCATTGAAGTACTTCAAAAGAGATGAACCAGCCCAAGGCTGAAAATCTCTCTAATAAAGTAAAAAAAAATGCACTTCAAACTTCATAGAATTTCGGAAAAACCTGAAGAAGTTCTGAAAACTCTATTGGGAAGTTTTTTGAACTTCGAAAATGTGTTTGGCACTTTAGAGGAGATCCGTGAATTTCAACAAAAAAAATTCTGGATTCATCCGCCTAGTTCTTCGAAGATTTTTTGAAAACGCCGGAGCAGCAGCAGTTTTGATAACTCTGGAAAATTTCTGGGAACTCAATTTAAATTCTTGAAACGCTGTCGTAGAAGTTCTGGGTACTTCATCATTGAAGATTTGAGATCTCCATTGAAGTTTTGGGAAGTTTTTTGAACTTCGAATATGTTTTTGGAACTTCAGAGGAGTTCCGTTAATGTAAATGAAACCCTGGATACTTCATCCATGTTCTTTGAAGAATTTCTGGAAACGCCGAAAAAGATTTGTGAAGTCTGGAAATGTTCTGAGAACTCTGGAGAAGTTCTGGGAACACCATTTAAGTACTTGAAATTCCGTAAAAGATCTGGAAACTTCGTAGAAGTTCTGAGAACTCCGTTGAAATTCTGAGAGCATCATTGAAGTCCTGGACGCATCATTCTGAGAGCATCATTGAAGTCCATTGCGGTACTTGAAACTCCGTAGAAATTCTGGAAACTACGAAGAAGTTTTTGAAACTCCGTATCTACTGTTCTGGGATGTCCATTGCTGTTTTGAAAAGTTTTTTGAACTTCGAAAATGTTTTTGGAACTTCGGAGGAATTCCGTGAATTTCAAATAAATTCTGGATACTTCAACCAAGTTCTTTGAAGAATTTCTGAAAACACCGGAGATGATTTGTGAAGTTTGGAAAAGTTCTGAGAACTCTGGAGAAGTTCCGGGAAATCAATTTAAATTATTGAAACTCTGCCGTAGAAGTTTTGGGAAGTTTTTTGATCTTCGAAAATGTTTTTGGAACTTCAGACGAGTTCCGTGAATGTCAAAGAAATTCTAGATACTTCAACCAAGTTCTTCGAAGAATTTCTGGAAACGCCGGAGAAGGTTTGTGAAGTCTGAAAATGTTCTAAGAACTCTGGAGAAGTTCTGGGAACACAATTTAAGTACTTGAAACTCCGTAAAAGATCTGGAAACTTCTTAGAAGTTCTGAGAACTCCGTTGAAATTCTGAGAGCATCATTGAAGTCCTGGACACTTCGTTGAAGTTCTGGTAACTTCATCATTGAAGATCTGGTAACTTCATCATTGAAGATCTGGGAACATCATCATTGAAGATCTGGGAACATCATCATTGAAGTTCCAGGAACTTCATCATTGAAGTTCCAGGAAAATCATCATTGAAGTTCTGGGAAAATCATCATTGAAGTTCTGGGAACTTCATCTTTGAAGTTCTGGGAACTTCATCTTTGAAGTTCTGGGAAAATCATCATTGAAGTTCTGGGAACTTCATTATTGAAGTTCTGGGAACTTCATCTTGAAATTCTAGGAACTTCATCATTGAAGTTCTGGGAACTTCATCATTGAATTTCTGGGAACATCATCATTGAAGTTCTGGGAACATCATCATTGATGTTCTGGGAACTTCATCATTGAAGTTCTGGGAACTTCATCATTGGAGTTCTGGGAACTTCATCATTGAAGTTCTGGGAACTTCATCATTGAAGTTCTGGGAACTTCATCATTGAAGTTCTGGGAAAATCATAGTTGAAGTTCTGGGAACTTCATCATTGAAGTTCTGGGAACGCCATCATTAAAGTTTTGGGAACTTCATCATTGAAGTTGTAGAAACTTCGTCATTGTAGTTCTGGGAACTTCATCATTGAAGTTATGGGAACTGCATTATTGAAGTTCTGGGAACTTCATCATTGATGTTCTGGGAACATCACCATTGAAGTTCTGGGAACTTCATCATTGAAGTTGTAGAAACTTCGTCATTGAAGTTCTGGGAACATCATCATTGAAGTTCTAGGAACTTCATCATTGAAGTTCTGGAAACTTCATCATTGAAGTTCTGGGAACTTCATCATTGAAGTTGTAGAAACTTCGTCATTGAAGTTCTGGGAACTTCATCATTGAAGTTATGGGAACTTCATCATTGATGTTCTAGGAACTTCATCATTGAAGTTCTGGTAACTTCATCATTGAAGATCTGGGAACATCATCATTGAAGTTCCAGGAACTTTATCATTGAAATTCTAGGAACTTCATCATTGAAGTTCTGGGAACTTCATCATTGAAGTTCTGGAAACTTCATCATTGAAGTTCTGGAAACTTCATCATTGAAGTTGTAGAAACTTCGTCATAGAAGTTCTGGGAACATCATCATTGAAGTTCTAGGAACTTCATCATTGAAGTTCTGGAAACTTAATCATTGAAGTTCTGGGAACTTCATTATTGAAGTTCTGGGAACTTCATCATTGAAGTTCTGGGAACTTCATCATTGAAGTTGTAGAAACTTCGTCATTGAAGTTCTGGGAACTTCATCATTGAAGTTATGGGAACTGCATTATTGAAGTTCTGGGAACTTCATCATTGATGTTCTAGGAACTTCATCATTGAAGTTCTAGGAACTTCATCATTGAAGTTCTGGAAACTTAATCATTGAAGTTCTGGGAACTTCATCATTGAAGTTCTGGGAACTTCATCATTGAAGTTCTGGGAACTTCATCATTGAAGTTCTGGGAACTTCATCATTGAAGTTGTAGAAACTTCGTCATTGAAGTTCTGGGAACTTCATCATTGAAGTTATGGGAACTGCATTTTTGAAGTTCTGGGAACATCATCATTGAAGTTCTGGGAACTTCATCATTGAAGTTGTAGAAACTTCGTCATAGAAGTTCTGGGAACATCATCATTGAAGTTCTAGGAACTTCATCATTGAAGTTCTGGAAACTTAATCATTGAAGTTCTGGGAACTTCATCATTGAAGTTCTGAGAACTTCATCATTGAAGTTCTGGGAACTTCATCATTGAAGTTGTAGAAACTTCGTCATTGAAGTTCTGGGAACTTCATCATTGAAGTTATGGGAACTGCATTATTGAAGTTCTGGGAACATCATCATTGAAGTTCTGGGAGCTTCATCGTTGAAGTTCTGGAAACTTCATCATTGAAGTTTTGGGAGCTTCATCATTGAAGTTCTGGGAACTTCATCATTGAAGTTCTGGGAAATCATAGTTGAAGTTTTGGGAACTTCATCATTGAAATTCTGGGAACGCCATCATTAAAGTTCTGGGAACTTCATCATTGAAGTTCCGAGAACTCCGATGAAGAGCTGAGAACTCCGATGAAGTTCTGAGAACTCCATAGAAGTTCTGAGAACTCCATGGAAGTTTTGGAAGCTCTGTTAAAAATTAGGGAACCTCAATTAAATCCCTTTTAGAACATGCGTTCTCTCTTGATATTTTTGCTCCGACCATTGTCAATTATTTTTCAAAATCATTTGAACCCATCCTAAATCCTGCAATATTTTCCTATTGGAGAAAATTGTAATTCTTGTTCACCCCCGTTTTATTCTCTTTGGACGTTGAATCAGATGGTGAAGGAAAAATTACCACGAGGGCCACTACAGAGTAAATCTAAACACATGCCCCAACATACATAAAAGCATAGAGGTAACTCTAAGACTAGAAGGTCCCGAAATAACGTGCTCAACTTTTTGGCTCAGCTCTGGTACTCTCTTCGGTCCCAAGCTAATCGATTCACCCCTCGAAACATAGGAAAAACCAATAACCCCTCATTTTATCTGTCAAACTTTCATAGCGAATCAAAACAAACATTGCGTAGTACTAGAATTTCGACTAGAATGGGGTACGTTAATCGTTTGCTTGGGACCAATAGGCTACTAAAGTGGTGAGCCAATTTAAAATCGTCAGTTTCGTATTGATTGTTGATAAAAGTGTTGCGATATAGGGTTACACCTGTTTTTCAATCATTAGGCTCTCTTTAAAAACATTATCTTGCTACCTGTTTCGATTAACCGATGGCTGTGTTGAATAGAAGAACAGTGCCTCCAATAAAGATCATTTTTAAGTCTTAAAGCAGGAGAGCGGAATTTAATAGAAATTCAATATTTTTTACGAATGATCAGAAGCCAAATTGCCTTCTATTTTCAATTAGCTGAGACCTTGAACCGAATAAAATCTTGCAGATTAATTTCAAAACACAACCGACAACAATCTGATAAATCAAAAATCAAATAATCTCTAATCGTCTTTGGAAGCTTATCTCGAGCTCTATATTCAGCAGCAGAAATTTTATCGAGGTTTTAAAGCATCCCACAAGTCTAAATCATGGTGTACTGAACTTGTATCGCCAGGGGTCGAAATGTGCCATTATTTGGTCTTTAACATCGAACAGTCAAGATTAATATAGCGACTAAACTTACAATAGGAAACATTCTAAAGAACGCCTTATTTCTTTATTTCACCACCAGGCGGCAGCACCTCTGCTCAAGACGCCCCTCTCGCAAGCCCAGCAGGCCTACAATGCAGCGACGTACACGGCCGTGGCAGCTAGGGCTGCCTACGGCGCAGCAGCTGCAGCTCAACCAACCGTAGCAGGCTACGCTACCGTTGCTGGGTAAGAAGCTATTCCGATGCAGTACTAGATTAGTGTCAATAAACGAAAATTTAAAATTGTGTTCCCGATTTCTTTTCAGATACGGACGTGAATATGCTGACCCATATCTAGGTCACGGAATCGGACCAGTTCCCGGATACGGGGTAAGTTTCCGTCTGGCCATATATTCTAGTACCTCAACTAAATGTCACATTCTGATTCCTTTTCTTTTTTTCAGGCAACCATGTACCGAGGAACGTACAACCGTTTTGCGCCATATTAGATTTAAGCTGCAAAGTTTGTTCCGTTCATCGCCATCATTTGTATACCTATATTTTTTTTTTGTTTGTTTTGCTCTTTGGTTTGTTAACAAAACTGCACACAAACCCCTACGGAAGGAAGGAAATTTAACCACGCACTAATCAAGGATCGATACCAAAGTTGTAGCAGAAGAAGATGAAGAAGACTAACAGCAGCGTCCGAGGCCTACAACGCCACAGTTTAAATCAACAACAGCAACAACAACAACAACCATGTATGCCGCGCTCTCTATTCCCTTTATATCTGCTATTAGGTATAAACAACGGCATCCGCACTAACTAGGCAGAGCGAGAGACATAGATGTCAAGGATGACTATGAACTACACTGAAGAAAAAAAAAACATGATGATATTCAATTGTGACAAACCACGTGACGGGAAAAGATGTGGAAAGAAGGGTTAATCTCTCTAAAAGTAGGATTTAATTTGTTTGAGTTTTCGCTCGCTAAGTAGTAGATAAGAATTGATACAGTTGCAACAGTCAGTATACTCAGTGGAGGATGTTTTCCCAATTCAGTTACGACAAGCTCCTTCCAAATAGTGTTGTTTATCAAGTTCAGTAGGTAGATTGATGATGATAGTTCCTCCAAAACAACAAACATTTTGTGTTTTCCCTTTGGTCAAAGTCAGCCTCAAATCTTCCAAACATATAGTTTACAGATAGTTTTTTTTTTTCAGTTATCATGCAAAGAATTTATATGAATCATATTGCTTGAACGAGGAAGCAAGATGATCTACTGGATGTGTTGAAAAAGTTAATAAAATTGTAGAATTCATTATTTCGCCCTCGGAAATTTCTTCGGCAGAAATAACCAGAGGATAACGCTCAAAAATTGGAAATAAATTGTATTTTCTGAATGTAATCGTGTGGAATCAAGTGGCACAGAGTTCTAATTGATCTGGTTCTTCCCGCGATTCAAGCTTTGACAGCACGATCTAGTACTGCATCCGCAACAATTGAGATCGTTACGATTTCTCTTCCATTCAGAGAATCACCGACAACCACCACTCGGCAGAATGATTTTATATTAAAATTATTCTACTACTGCAAACAAAAATCGAACAAGAACAAGCGCGCAGAACGCCACACTGTGGAAAACAACAAAAACATAAGGAAAAGGTAGAAACGTAACAAGAAATCAGCCAAAGTTATCAACTAACAAGTATAGAAAACAAGCAAAATGCGACAACAAACCAGTAATATGGACGCAAGTCAAACGCAAGCTAAAGCAAACAAAACGAGTACATAGTCAGTAGAGATGAAAACCGGGAAAACAATACAAAAAAAAAACAAGAAACTACGTTAAAAGCTAGCATTAGAAACGAGTCTCAGTGAACTCAGTAGGTAGTTGATGTGCAATGCATCACACTGACACACACACACACAAACATACATACACTGCACCGATTGGTTTATTTTTTTCGTTTTTTGGCAGCTTACGAATTTTGGTGTTACTCTTCCAAAATTTAGTGTAAATAATGAATCAAAAAAAAAATAACCAGTCCATGAGAATACAGCTGATGAATCCTCCCAACAAGTCAGTCAGCGCACGCGATGCGTGAGGAACCAATACTCAAAGCTCCTTCTAGTGCCGCGTGGCACAGCGGTGACACAAAACACACAAACGTATCGTTGAGATTAAGAATTCTATATAATTTCTCACGACTTCTCAGTTAAACCCGAATTATAGAACAAAAGCTACTCAATATAGTTTATTTTATCGTACACATATCGTGTTGATTTACGACAAAATCTCGAACGTGGTAGCTCGATCGGTTTGGATGCCATTTTGTTTGTGGAGCTCGGATGTAAGTCACACATTATACAAGTATATTTTTTATGTTAATCGTTTACGTTTAGAGGTTAAGTCAATATCGAATACTAGAGAACTACGGGGGAGATTGCGCACACTCATATAAACACAAACACAAACACACACTGTTGATCATCACACAAATACAATGATGCGGACAAAACAAATTCAATCAGGGCATTCTATGTTTGTAAGATTTAGTTCTTTTTTTTTTTTTTTGTTTCTTTTAAATACTATTGAATATTTTAATTTCGTTTTACTGAGAAAAGGTTTACGTTTAAGTGAGTATAGTGGGTAGATGATCGAATGCTTCGAAATTGAGTTGTTTGAAGGTTTGTTTTGTTTTTCGAAATTTTGCGTATCGTTACATCAAGCTCTATTTAGGTACTTGGTGCGATTTAAGGGTAGTATTTTGAGGTTAGAATTGGCGGACAGAAAATTTGTTGACCGGCTTTTTGTGATGAGGCGTTTTTCGCGGAAATTGGTTTTGGTTTCCTGCAGGCTCCTCCTGTAGATAATCTGTAGCTTATATTTAGTGAAGCCTGTTAGAAAATAGTTTTGCTGACCATTCACATTTCAGTTTATATGAATTAATAACCCCACGACGTTTCTAAAAGGGATTGTCAATGATCTATGAAAACCTACCTACAATAATCAGCTGTACCTACCGGAGCTAGCAGCTCGTGGAATCGCTTGTTCCTTGAACTTCGATGCATACTTCAAGCCGTTATTTGATTTGACGTCTGGCGGATTTCCTTTGGAGTTATCTTCAAAATCAAATGTTTACTGAAGTCATGAATGGACACTGAACAAACTGTCGCTTGAAATCGAATCTTCCAAATAATGTCTTTTTTCGGTTGGAGATTTATTTTGGAAGCCTTTAGAAACGTGATTTTACAATGTTGGGATGTTGTACATTTGAAGGAGTTCCGTTCTTGGTCTGTTGAGACACTTCAAGGCGTCCGGTCGGAAGGATTTCTGGAGTCAGGTTAAGTGCATTTCTGCAAGAATGGGGGAACTACTCTCGGCTCTACTCATTGAGACACTTCAGGAGCTTGGTCTAGAGAACTTTGTTGCCTGGTTCAGAGAACTTCAAATACAGGGTGGTCTGAAGGATGTCTGGAACAAGGTTCAGTGAACTTCTGTGATCAGGATATTTGGAGGTTCGGAGAACTTCGAGAACAAATCTAAAAGATTTTGACCGCCAGCTTAGGAAGTCTTTATAGGGACTTTGAGGTTGAGCTCTATAGATATAGTGCTATGGGTGTTAGTCTTGACCCGTTGAGAGACTTCAGGGGGTCGGTCCAGAGAACTTAATTGACTGGTTCAGAGAACTTCAAGGATAGGTTGGTCTGACGGATGTCTGGAAACAGGTTCAGTGAATTTATGTGACAAGGAAATTTCGGAGGTTCGGAGAACTTCGAGAACAAATCCGGAAGATTTTGGCCGCCAGGTTCGAAAGCTTTCGTGGGGACTTTGAGGTTGATCTATGCATTTAGTGCTATGGGTGATGGCCTTGACCCGTCGGGAAACTTTAGGCAGTCGCTCCAGAGAAAATTGTTGACAGGCTTAGAGGACTTCAAAGGCAGATGATGGTCTGATGAATTTTTGGAGACAGGTTGCTTGCAGGTTGCCTGCATTTCTGGATACGATTTTAGTGCACTTGTGTGACAAGAAGATTCAGAGGACTTCGAGAACATATTTAGGATATTTTGTATACCAGGTTTGGACGTCTTCAGGGGACTTTAAAGTTGATCCACGGCCGTTGAGACACTTTCTAGAGGTCTCTTCGGAAAAAAATTGTTGACAGGCTTAGTTGACAGTTCGAAAACAAATTCGGAAGATTTTGAACACAGGTTAGAAAGTCCTCGGGGAACTCTGAAATAGATCTACGGGACTTCGACAACTAGTCTTGGCCCGTTGAGACACTTCAGGGAGTCGGTTCAGAGGACTTCAAAGGCAGAAGTTGGTTTGAATGACTTCTGGAGACTGATTTAGTGCACTTTTGTGGCTAGGGAATTTGAAAATAAATCCAGAAGATTTTGAATGCCATGTTGGAAGTCTTCAGGAGGCTTTATCAACCTATTTACGGGACTTCGGGAGCTAAGTAGTCTCGGCCCGTTGAGCCACTACAGGGGCCCGGTCCGGAGAACTTTATTGACGGAATTAGAAAACTCCAAAGGCAGAGAGTAATCTGAATGATTCCTGCCAACAGATTTTTTGCACTTCTGTGGCAAGTGAGCTGACAAGGAAATTTGTACGTCGTAATGCTTTTAAAGAGCTTTTCTTTGATATTCACTGTTTGTGAAGCCGTCTATATTTGGAAACTCTCCCTAGCCTTTGGAAACTCTCCAAAATGGACAAATTGGTCCTATTGATTGAACGGCAAGTTCTTCTATGAAGTCTCCTTGAAGAAATGGAACTTGAAGAACTTCTCTGTCCGAATCCGAGTCTGGTCTTTGCGGATGGATCGTAGGGATTTCCGAGGGGGACGACACATCTAAATCTCAATTCTAGGTGCTCAACAAATCTCATACTAGCTAATCAATCTTCGAAACATCTTCTCTAATTTCTCGCATCTACTTGCATCGTGCATCATCTTTTTGCAAGAAATCTTCAGAATCGTCATAAATCTTTTTACTATCTACTCAGCGTGCGCGCAGCTAACCACAGCAAAAACATTTTTTCCTTCGTAGATAGAGTCGCCCCCTTCGGGGATTTCAAGGGCTAAGTTCGGATGAGTTTCAGTGTTCGGAAATTCGGAAATCCGGATTTAGATGAACTTCGGAACTGGGTGTGGTCTATGACATTTTTACGGGTCTACTGGTTTCGGACTGCTGGTTCTGGCCCCTTATTATGGGTGTCACTTCTCGGTAAAAGCAAACTGAACCCGCATAAACAATAACCATAAGAAGCGCCTAGCCACCAATTCAAGATATGATCCAAACTATATGAGGTATGGTCACACCATCTATGATATCGTTTGTGTATGGTACCCGTTTATAAGGGAAGTGACCAGTTATCACTCACGCAGAAATGATTGCCGTGTAAATCAAATGGGATGATGACAAGGTGTCACTTCATCGTGAAGTGACATCGGTATTAAGGGTCTCTGACAGGATTTTAAAGGTCTTGTGGTGTTAGAATAAAATGAAAATAATGCCCATGATTGTCACGCTTTTTCAACGACACACGGCTAATTCAATGCGTCGGTACCATCTCCCTCTTTTGGCTAGCAGCAGCTGTACTCTTCCAGCTACTTCTGAAGCCGCACGAATCGCAAAGGACGTTGATTTGCTGATAATGCTTGATAATGCTGCTGTAAGAGAGTTGAGCACGATGTCCGAGTTTGTGATTGTTAATGGTGTCCCCTGCTGGGTCGTTCGGATACTGAATATTGATCAGAAATGGAACGATGACGTGTTTGCTGCTGAAGACCAACTTACTGAACCACTGGAATGATGAAACTGTATTCCACTACTGCAGCCGGTTCAAAACCGATACGGGACTTCAGCTGGTAAATGTGTGATCGGAGCACTTTTCGCCAACCAAGCTGTTGATTCAGAAGAACATTGTATTTGACGTTGCCGATTATTTCGATGGCCTTCGTTGCTCGATTATAGCTTGGCGTAAACTGGTGATCCAGCCTCAATGTTCCGTTTGTGTTGCGCTTACTGACTGCTGCCAGGGTGGTCATGGGACGTAGAATATCCAAAGTAGTCCTTAATATCTAGCATGGCGGATGGTGTTGAAGAGATCCTCGTATACTTGGTCGAACGAAAAAATAAGTTTTCTGACTCGTTATAGAGATTGCGGATGAGAGAGATTCTATTATGTCTTCTCTGGAGTTCTTCGCTAAGTTGCTGTTGGTTTTTCTTCAGTGACTTGTTCCAAAAGGCTGTTCTGGATACTCCATCTTGACCTCTGGCCGTGTTTCCGTTGCTCCGACTCATCGGCGCTCGCTTCCAGTTAGTCTAAATTACCCCCGTAACGTGGGTAGATCACCTTTTCGTGGTACGTTACGGGATGTAAGATCTACCACCGATTCCTAGTCCTGACTACTTCAAACTAGGGGAACAGGATTTTTCAGTAATCCAAGAAACACAACTTAGTCCTTGTTACTTTTAATGCCTTGTTGATAGTGACAAGACTCGGTTTTGTCTACCGAGGATGATCTTGAAACAAGGAAAAAAATGAGTTAGTTGTCTTCATCTATGTGATTCCTAATCTTCTATTCGTTGTTCCCTAGTTTGAAGTGGTTAAGACTAGGGTTCTGATGCATGGTCATTATCGGTGTCATACCTTAATTTTGTTACTAAGGAATCCAATTTTGACTGGCAAAGGGGCGCGCCTTTGGAGGGTGTTTCAACACTCCGAAGGGTATAAATAGCGGGACCTTTCAATTAGAGTCGGATCCTTGCGATAAATGCAAGAGTGGCAACTGTAAAAAAAATCGAATACTTCATCATTTCTCAATAGTGATGGAGTAATACGACATGCACTAAACTAAGGACACGGGATATACTACTATAGATCACTTTACTGGTCGCAGTAGTGTTAGGTTCCGAACAGAGGAAAAAAAATAGTCTAAATTACGTCATTTTCTAACAATGACTAATACAGGAATCAACCTTCTCTCAGCGATTCTAACGCGATGTCTTGGTAACATTCTTCACCAGCAACGACTTACAGTGCACCTCTTGCAGTTTCCTCTCCGCTAGTTTCGTCTCGTTGGATGCGCGCTTTTGATCAATTCAGTGCTAACATTTGAAAACGGCGCAAAAGCCATTTGTAAACAAATGGTTTGTGGGCCCTTTACTCGCTACCCGAAGAACGCCCACGCAAACCAACAGCATCGTCAGGAAGGGGAAAATTTCCCCTACCCGATGTTGCTGTTGTGTCGCGTGGGTGTACTTCAAGTAGTGAGTAAAGGGCCCACAAACCATTTGTTTACAAATGGCTTTTGTGCCGTTTTCAAATGTTAGCACTGAATTGATTCCTCCGATTCGGAAAGTGGATGGTCCATCAATCGAGAAATCAAACAGGACTAGAATCCTGTTTGATTTCTCGTTAAATCATACAGAGTTCGATCTTTTCCGTTAGGAACCATAGCGTTCCTTTATGATTTCTTGATGAAATGTTGAAGCACTCATAGTAGAATCGACCATTCGGGTGACAGATTTCCTTTCAAATTTCATTAATCGACTCATGCAAAAATAAGAAAATCTCTATTACACCAAATAGCTCCCACAAATCCATCGCTGATAAAGGCGAGTTAATTCCTAGTTTCAACACTTCAAAATCACTTCCATCCGTCTATTTCAGTTTCGCTAAACGTAACCTAAATCTAAATGTTAAATCTAAACTGAGATTCTTATTTTCCCAATCACTGATTCCTTAAACATGAAGGGGCTTATTACGGATGTCACTTCACGGTGAAAACTTGTCACTTGTCGTCACGGTGAAGTGATTCCCATTTGATTTGTACGGCAATCACGGCTCTTATTATGAGTATCACTTCCTTATCACCGTGTAGTGACACCCGTAATAAGGCCCGAAAGCTTTTGAAGTATTTCTGAGACACTGAGATTCTTCTTTTCCCAATCACTGATTTCTTCTGTTGAACACGAATGCTTCCGAAGTACTTCTCAACAGTTTTCTTTTTTTCCGTTATCAAATACAAATGTTTGAATCAAATTTACAGATTTGCAGCGGTTTACCACGACTTCTCTGTGCTACGACTGTCAAGGCTGGCGCACAATGTATAAGTTTCCGGGGTTTTTCGACATGGGCTTACTGTCGAAAAACTTGAAAACTTATCCATTGTGCGCCAGCCTGATGAGACATTATTTTAGACGCCATTTTGACCGCGAAAAGCAAAAAGCAGAAAAACGTGCCCTTCGGAAATGTTCCCGATCATTCTGTCAAAATCGTGCACGATCAATCGAATTTACTCGCTTGTTAGTTTTGTTGTCACAAGTGGTTAATTTGCTTTAAATCTTGATTTAAAACTCGAGGTGGAAGTGAATGGGATCGACAAAATATCGCAGTGCTCAGAAAATGAAGCTCTTTCAGATGATGTCGGTATAGTTTCCGATATATTTTTCAAAATTAAAGAACCCAATTGCATTATCTTTTCTGGCGAGCTCCGTAGCAATTCAAATCTATTCCACCCACATCAATTCCTCTGCCCGGAGAACGTCTCCTCACAAAAAGCCATCGACAACGCTAAGAAATCATCTTCCAACGGTTGCAACAGTAGAATGCGTAAAATTTTCCGTTTTTAGGTTAGTCACATTTTCAAATTTCACCTATTTTTAACGCACATTACCGCATAGAAAAAAAGGAAGCAAATCCCAGTGTAGAACAACCATTCTTCCAGAACCCAACGTCGTCCCGCAGTTGGTACATTTTTGACGAACGACACGAGAGGATCGCGGGAGAAAGAGAGAGAGAGAGAGAGAGAAAACAAAGAACCCAAGATCTGCATAACAAAACAAGTATTTTTCTACAGTAGTACTATTTTCTAGAGTGCATATGTGCAAGTAATCTCTAAACCGAAGGGGAACTATTTTTTTTCTATCGAACTCTTTGTACCAAGTGTAATTTGACCCTGAACGAAAATAAAAAAAAAACTTAAACAGCTCAATGACGGCAACAAAAACGAGAGAAGAAAACCAAAACATTAGAATGTAGTTCAGTATGCTCTAATTAGTATTTAGTAACCGAAGAAGAGTTAGGGCAGAGGAGAACCACGCGGATTACGAAACCCTCTACTAGGAAGGTAGGATTTTTTTTCTTGTTTATTTAGAAACAGAAGCGTCTCTCTAAGAATGCGCAAGCCATATTTGATTTAAGGTCAAACATATACGTGTTAGGTTTTAATTGGTTATAGTTTTTTTTTCCACTGTTTTTTTTTTTATTTTACCGTAGAGTAGAATTTTCGAATCATACATGCATACACTCAAGAAGAGGAAGAAATATATTCTAGTGATAATCGTAATTCCTTCCCCCCTGATTTTAGATCACGCGCGACAACACAGCCGGTGAGGAGCCATTTTTTTATCGAACCCAAATCGAGCTTACTCTCTAATTGAGCATTTCTAGCTCAAATCGTTAAAAAAAATGTCAATTTTGTCTCGACCCCTTCTGATTAGAATGAAACATTACTCGCGTGTTCGCTGCTACTAATGGTTGCATTTTTCATTTAAATATGATTTTTTCCTCCAGAGTAACTTTTGAAAAGGGCGTATAAAAAAATTGATTATTTTTTTTTCAAAAAATCATAACTTGAAAACTATTGATCTGATTAAAACGGCATATGAGAAGAAGTTTTAGGTAATTAAATTATCTTTGCGAAAAAAATACACTGAAAGAAAAAACTTCGTAAATTAGTATTTAAAAAACGTAAAACGATGATTATCTCAAAACACCCCCCCTTCGATATTTATAATTTTTTTTTTGAAAAAAACTGAAATAATGCCCTAATATTTGGTGAAAAGTGTATGCTGGTAACTTTCTTAAAAAGAAAGCTATAATTTTTTAAATTTTTGTTGATTTTTACAAATTGATAAAAATGCATATTTTTTTATAAAATAATAATTTATTTGGATTCTACGCATAAATTTCAATAACTTTGCATATAAAAACTTTTTTCCTAAGTCCAGCCGTTCTCAAGTTAATGCGAATTAAAAAAATATAATTATAACAATTTTCAACATATTAGGCCATTTTCAAATGTTCGTCGAGATGTCCATTAACGAGATTTTATTTCATGATTGTATATTAAAAACCAAACAATTCATTCTCAGATATGGTAGCTGTCAAACTTACCCGTTTCTATCTAGAGGCAGCGGAAGTGAAGCACGTTGATGTGGTCAAATGAAAGATTTGTTGAGATAAGAAACAGTATATATTTATTAATTTAATTTACAACTCATATTATTTGAATACATTGAATAATTTGGGTGTATCGTTTGAATTAGAGAATATTTTTACTGCAATTTGGTTGTTTGAAACTGGAATATAGCAATGATATTTTCGAGTTCCAGGAATTGGTTTCACTTTCTTAAAAATTGGATCAAATTCCGTGTCAGCCTTTTTGTATTCTTCCGTAGAAACATAACAAAATGACATTTTTGTTTGAAGATCTTCTTTACGACTATTTGCCCAGTCGTACAGTTGTTTAGGGTTCGTTATAGGGTGCTCGTGGTGCTTAGCTAAACTTGCTCTGGTTGCCATTCTCTTAAGGGTACCGCCAATCGCATCACAAGGACCTTTGCCGTGTGAAGTTGCAAAAAAATGCCATTCCATTTCTACATTATGCTTATCTTTAAATCCACAAAGGCTAGCAATTTTTTTTTATGTTTTTGTATTGTGATGCTGCTCTATCTAACATAAAAATACACTTTTGGACTGTTATTTGCGACTTTAAAAATTCTAATAATTTTGAGATAAACAACTGAACTGCTACTGTGTCATGCTTTGAAATTGATTTAGGTAGAGGTTTACAACACTTGAAATTGTTATCCATCGTAAAAAACTACTTGCTTTTTAACTTGAAACGCTAAGAGAGATGAACTGAATGGAACAGGTGAAGAACTTGACTTAAATGATCTTTATTTCTTGTATTGTGTGGTTTACATGTATACCTTATCAAGTGACACAGATGCGTCTTTTCAGCTTTAGTTCCTTTTCAATTAAAATTATTATTAATTACAGTTCCTAGTCCTATCAGGCCTGTTTTAAGAATGACCACCTTGGTGGGATTGGTTTGTTTAAAATTTGAAAAAAGGAGACTACTTATAACTACTATTTACAACTACAACTAACCTACAACTACTATATACATGTTCTGATAAAATACATTTTTGTGCAAATTTAGTCTTAATTTCGTTAATTCGGGAATCTATTTTGGCAATGCCTGCCTCTTCATGTAAATTTGTTATTCTAGTGTCGAAAGGACGATCAAGTACCATCCTCAGCACTCTATTCTGAGTGACCTGAATTTTGTTCCTGTGAGTCTGTGCACATGATTCCCACACCGGAGCTGCGTAGAGGATCGCAGGTGCTATGATTTGTTTGTAGACAGCCAGTTTGTTCACCCTTGAGAGGCGGGATCTGCGGCAAATCAGCGGATACAGAACAGGTGAAGAACGTCCCAATATATATATATATATATATATATATATATATATATATATATATATATATATA